TTTTTCCTGCAGATGACAATGAAGGAAAGGGGCACTAGTTTGAACCTTTAAAATAGAGTTGCTAACAGAGTTCCCCGAAGTACTTTTCAAAATATCTTGGGGGCACTAGTTTAAACCTTTAAAAAAGAGTTGCTAACAGAGTTCCCTGAAGTACTTTTCAAAATATCTTTGCATTGAAAGAAAAGAAGTGGGAAGGCTTGATTTTGATTTATTTTTTTTTTAACATCTCTCAGGTGAAATCCAGGGGCACTAGTTTGAACCTTTAAAATAGAGTTGCTAACAGAGTTCCCCGAAGTACTTTTCAAAATATCTTTGCATTGGAAGAAAAGAAGGAGGAAGGCTTGATTTTGGGTTTGTTTTTTTTTTTTAACATCTCTCAGGTGAAATCCTGCCCTTGTTAAAATCAATGACCATTTTCCCACTGATCCCAACAGAATTCCATTTCTAATAAACTGATTTCTTTTGCAATGCTGATATACTCGCATCAAGGAATTTGACAAGGCTTGACACAGCACCTGACCTGCTCTGCTTGACTCAGCGGCTGAAGGGAAGTGTGATCAGAGACGTGAGTTAAGAAGTTCACCAAGTCTCCATGGGTACTTTTGTGCTCTATGGAGCTGAGAAGGCTCAGGTCCCCACCAAACCCACCCCATACACAGTTATCCCCTTTGTGCAAGAGGGGGCTGTACAATCTGATCATTTTCTTAAAACCAGTCATGCGTCTATAAGGTGAGCATATAGGCAAATGAGCATCCCAATAGAAGGGAATCCTAACAAATCATCACAGCTTTCTAAAAAAAAAAAAAAAGCCTTTGTTTTTCTTTTTCATATGCTATTTTTACATGGCTCAAGTTTATATTTGGCTGCCTAAATCATTCACTTAAAACCACATCTGTGTTCCTACCTATTTGAAACACTTAGGTGATGATTTAGGTGCCTTTACTGAATTTGGTGAAAAAAAATTTTGTAATAGGTGCTCAGGTCTAAAAGCGTTTTATAGTTAAGTCTGAGAAAATAAATGATAAAAATGTTGACAAACACATCATGGTACTCAATTCAAACCTTTGCATGGGAAACTCAGAAAAAAGGTCATGAGTCTGAAACAAAGGAAACATCTGCACTTCCAAGGAAATGGGAATAAGTGAAAGGAACAAACCACCTCTCATCTGGCATCTACTGCAATTGTTTGGGAAAACCATGCAGTTTTTATCACCCAGCATGCATTAGAGACTTGACACTGATTAACATGCTTCTTTCTGTACCATTTCTTCCAGATTACTACTAATGGATTCTCTCACAACTAAGATGGTTAATTTCCAAAAGGATGAAAGTGGGGGAAAAACCCAAACTATATCAATTTCTTTTTTTCCTGTGTTTTTTATAATCAGTTTAAAGTCCGTTACCTCTGATTACTAGCACTTTTTACTGACATCCTCATGTCAGGTGTTAGCAGGTTGGTAGGAAAGGCACATATGCCCAGTGTTACGGCACTCTCAGATCATGCGTCCTTAGCACAGTAAGCAAAAAAATTAGTCTAGCAAAGTCCATTAATTTTAATGCAACATATAGGGCTAAATACACTGAAAACCATGCTGAAAAGAAATCCTTAGGTCTATGAACTAACGTAAAGGCACAATCTTCCCAGAGGTAACTTGGCAGCCACTGCTATATGGGGGTTTCAGACACTTGCTCTGCATGACAGGTCTGATGGCTACACTCTACTGCACAGGCTTCAGGTGTGTGGCTCAGGTGTAGCTACAGAAAATGTTATGTGACTCCTTGCATTCAGCCCACAACAGTCTGCAGCTAAGAGATGTGCCACACCCACCCACCACAGAAACGAGATCCAGAGAATTAAATTAAATTTGGAATGACAATAAGCTCAGATTCTTGGCCAGTGCCTTAAAAGAATGAGGAGTCTTATGGACTAGATAGAGCCCAAAGCAGGTGGTATAATAAATTTTACTACTCTGCAGTAAGAATGATAAATGATTTCACGAGTTTATGCTTCACCCTATTCCAAGGTCACCGGGTTCCTCTCAGCTAAAACAAGTTATGGATCGTCACAATAATAAAGCGAGCTCAGCAATAAAGCACTCTGCCACATTTTGCTCTGCTATGGCTGTGCCAACCCTTGAACTGTCTTCCAGAGTCACATATGCAATGCCATTGACAGCAGCCCACGTCACAGTGCAGTGCAGATGATAAAAAACTGTAAAAGTTAGATACAGCTTAATTCCCATGCTTTTCTTAAAAAAACCAAGGAATCTGAGCCTATTTCACTACAGAATGAAAGGTTCTGAGGGTTAGATTTCCAGAGGTATTTCAGTATCTAAATATGCAAATAATCACCTGGTGGGATTTTCAGAAGTGTCTAAATCTACATTTGAAAATCTAGCCCTAGCTTCTTTTCATATTGAGATCCAGAGGAGTTTGCAGTGGGATGCTAACTTCCTTTTTGATGTGGTTTTTAAATATTCCATGTTTTCTAAGGTAGGTAGATAGAAGCTGGCATAATTTTGAAATGAAAGTTTCTGACTGTCTTGCTTCAAAATCATGCAAGTTCCTTACAAGCCCACTATTCACATATGTTTTATTTTTTGTTTCTTCTAATTCCCTTTACTATATAAGCCAGATGGACCATTGAATAAGAGGTAAAGGAGCAATATTTACCAGGTCCTTCCATGAAAAAACTTACAATAGTATCACCATGTCAATATAAATCAGTAATCATAGAAATCTGGTCACACAACCCCAAACAAATTTTATTTATACTTTAATCTTACCTTCTTTCTCAGCTAGAAAGAACAGTTAAAACTATACTGTTGTATCTATACTATTTCTATCTCTAGTTTCCATGACACAGGAGTTTTCAATAATAGTTAGGAAGGTGCTCCTTCCAGTGCCCAACTGCAGCTCAGCTTTTCTGAAGTGCTACAATTTGGGAGTGTATTTTAGATGACACAATTATTGGCAGACGATGAAATATACAGTTTAGAAGCAAGCAGTAGAAATTAGAAGAGGTAATGTGTCAAGCACTACTTTGAACTGCCTTTAGTATATGCTCTTGCTGAGATGGCTTCAACAAAATAATTCTCCAGAAATGTAACTCAAGAGTACAATCAACTGGATCTCAAAATATCTCCAAGGACTTATTCAGTCATTCCCTACTTGGAATCTTAGGGTTCCCCTAAGATTTACATCACATACAATGAGTTCCTTTCACAAGATATTTGGGATTGTACTTAGAAGTCAGCTGAAAATGTGAGAAGTTGTCTGCTGGTGCAACTCCCCTAGGTTTATTAATTTCAGACAAAATTTGTAGACTTGCCTAAGGTATTCCTTATCTTTTGTTAGAGAAAAAATACCACTTGTATTTAACAAGTTAGATACACACATTCTTAGCAGTTGCTTAGAAACAATGCACCCTCCAAATCATTCAGATTTCACAAATCAACAGATCACCCAGAAGAAGATTTCTGATATGAGTAGCACTTCCTGCAAGCAAAATACACTATCAAAAGAGCAACAGTTTATGTTGCTCATCAATAACATGGATGCTAATCAAATTCCAGTGCAAGGCTGATCACACAAAAATTTCCTTGATATGAAAGCCAATAGTTCAGGATACACTGTCTTTTTTTTATGATATAAGAAAGAAAAAAATAATCGCAAAGATGTTAGCATTCCTGTACTTTCCAGTTTATGCCATTTATCCTGTTTGGTTTTTTTTAAAGTATGGAAATGATGTGGAGAAAGTAGAGTAAGAATAAAGTAATTGTATATGGCAATAGAGATGAAGAGGTTCTTTCACACAATCAAATACATCCCTGTCATTGGAATATTATCTTTGACAGTACATTTTTCCAGTATTTTGTCACGGCTATGTTACAAAAGTTACACACCAATTTCATTTATTGAGAGGACATTGGTCCTTTCTCATTCAAAAAGATAGAGAAAAAAAGTTGATTGCATTCAACTTTCAAAGTCAAAATACTTTACATAAACTTTGTATTATCATTAATTTGCTTACTATACAGTTTAGAAATACAAATCCATCTTCAGCACTCAGAAGAGCATTATCCAAGGTGACATCAGCTACTCATGACTTGTCATCTTCAATATGACTTAATGTAAATTCACCCCTTTCTAGACATTGTAAGATTTCATATCAAGTACCTCAGAAACTGGTTCCAAACTGGTTAATGGAAATGAAAAGCAAGTGCTATGATCATCACATGCTTTCCTACATATCAATCTGATAATCACGACAAAGAAAATATTTTTATATGCATTTTGAAGGTGAATTAGGAAAGTAACTATTCCTTTATCTACATCTCCAATATCATAGTTTGGATTCAAAGACATGAAGAAACTTGCTTTGAGAAAATGCTACTTTGCTGAAGTCTGTCTTCTTTCATCCAAATGATGGTTATCCTGCTTAGAATTAATAAAGCTATGAAAGGCAACTCTTATCTCTTTAATAATAATTTCCTTGTGATATACTCTTCGTAATAAGGAGAAATGAAAAGTTACATACGGTAGAGCAGATGAAAGTAAAAGCCTACAGATTAGATTTATAATATATTACAAATGCCTTTCTGTGTGTCAGCATACTCTTTCTTGAAAAGGTTTCCATCACTTCCATTGTGCTGATAAAGTAGATTTTTTAAAATGATAAATGGAAAACTTTTAGGGAACTATATAAAATCTCATGTCTCTATCCATTGCCAAAGGATATAAACCTCTACTTACTGTTCGAAGTGACTCAATTAAAAAAAACCACCAAACCTACTGTATTAAATGACTCAGCAATGTTAACTCATCTATCCCTTTTTATGTGGATCCCAATTAGAGTCATAACAGTTACAAGTTGCAACATAACTGCAAACGATGTCGGATTTCCCCAAACAATTGTGCTAGGGTCTGAGTTGTTCTCTATGATTTCTGAAGGGGAGGAAGATAAGGATGGGTTACAGATAAGAGAAAGCCACAGGTACCTGATCCAGTTTCCAGTGGAACTCCGCAGGACGGAAGGTGTCAGCCTGGTCAAAGTCTTTGCGCAACAGAAATACCAGGCGGCAGTTGTGCACGTACAGGGCGTAGTGATGGCGGTTCATCTCTGGAAGGAGGGACCAATAAGATCAATGATCTGAACTATCATCAACGCTTCTCTTTAGGTGAATGTGATTGAAAGCAATATACAACTAAAAGACAAAACTAATTCAAATAAAAAAACCCCAAAATAATTGACTTTTCTCAATATCATGGATCATTATGGTTCTCAGGGAAGCCACACATGGTAAGCATCTTCTTGAATTACACTGCATTAGTCTTGCTTATGGAAGCGTTATGTCCAAAATAAATAAATAAAATCCAAATCAATATTTAATCTAGCTAGTTTCAATGAAGAGTTAGAACTGTTTTTCCCAATCCTAATAGTAAAGAAACCCACCCAATTTAATTATTTTGTCAACCATTTCCTGTGAATTCCTACAGATGTGTTCACAGAGATTACCCAAGAAGAGAACCAGTACTTGGAACTTAGGCAGACACCAGTCCCCTCCATAAACTTTCAAGTCAGCAATGCTTAGAGTGGCACCGTCTCAGTTTAGTAACTTTTCTTCCAGACCAAATTAACTGAGGAGAGATGGTAACACTACTGACTTTGTTACGCCCTTTTCCAAACATTTTTTCAACACACAAACTCACCGGTCTTGTCAGAGTTGCAGAGAATAGTCTCTTTCTCAGCTCTTAATCCCGGACTAGGTCCATGTTTCATCCAAAGAGTGATGGTGAACTGATCAGTTAAATTCTTTGGGACTATTCCATCTGGGATTTTGGCTCCTTGCTTTCCATCAAATTTAAAAATCATGTCATTGTTATCCATGAGAAGCCCAGCTGTCCAGTTCGTTGTTGCACTGGGAGATGGTAACAGGTCAATGGCACCTGAGGAAGCTCCTGCAAATGATACATAATGAGTAACATGATGAAAGATTAATGAAAAAGCTGTGCAAATTAATTTAATAAAGTCAAGGGTCCAATTCACACTCTTTAGATTATTTTCACTACCCAAACGGCCCTACTAGCTTTACTGTCAAATCACATACACATTATAGAATACTGACCATAGTAAGCCAGTAAGAGTTCTCTAGGTTAAATGTATTGCACAGAAAACTACAGAAATTTTTGTAAAGTTATCTTTCTTGAAAATTCTCTCTATTCTCTAAAATTCATTAATGATGTTTCTTCAGTTATTTAAAGAACTGCCCTGACTAAAACTGCTAAGACTAAAATCAAATTATTTACATCCAGCGGGGAAGCTTTACATCTTCCTTCCCTGACAGCACAGCAGTTATGGTATATGTGGGTGATGTGCTGCAAAATACAGTACAGTGGGGATGAATGTGGGACAAGTCACATAATGTCCATACATAGCCATGGATATTCACAGTAATGTTGGGATAAATGTCAATACAAACAGAGTATTCACCATAAAACAGATAAAATTACTTTAATGCTTCTTCTGGCAGATACATGATGGTTGTAACTCCATGTGTTCTTGTCTAATGATATATCTAAGACTTTTACTCATGAAGTAAAGACTTTTACTGTTACTCATAATTCAGATTAGCTACCTCCTCAACCCCAAAGCAAATCATTAGCAGAGTGGTTCCCAGCTACATCGTATTTGTTTGTTAGAATTAACTGGAAAAAAACCCACAACCAAATCAAAATCCAGAAATGGAAAAAATATGTGGTGCCAAGATCTGATAAAATAGCACAATTCTTTACAGCTCTGTGTTTCCTTACAGCTTAGCAACTGTCAGACACTTTTAAACATGTAATGAGCTACCCAGAGCCTTCACTTAGCTGGTGAAAGACAGCATTTAGCAGAAAGCATGCTTGCCAGAGTAAAAAGAACAAACAATCTTTGTATTCTTGTTGATGATTTGTCAAGGAAAATTATGGTGAACAAACCACAACTGAAAAAACATCCCAAGCTAGTAAGATATCCCACCCTCCTTCAGCATCCAAGGAAAGAAGAAAGATCCCAACTCTTCAGAAGTGTAGAATTTTAAGCTAAGAATTTGTGGAATTGTATCCTATAGATTTTTTAAAATATAATAATAATGATATAAGAACACTGATATACTTGGTAACTGAATTTCCTAGATAATAATTTCCTAGATAATTCTCCAAACTGTAAAATGAGGTTATTTTGAAGTGATGCTAGTGCCAAACCTAACACCTACATGTTTAGAACTTGAGCACAGAAACAAAGTGTATTTATTTTATAAATTTTAGTTCTGGATAATACACCACACTGCATTGCTTAATAAACAGATGTTATCAACAGGAATACATCAAACTCAATTTTTCCAGATGGCACAATTTGTGATAAATGTTCTATTTTTTTAATTTTTTTTTTTTTTTTTTACTTTAAGCTGCTAAAAAATGAAATTACTGGCACAGGACACAAGCAAAGCCATAATTTTCTCAATCAGTTTCCTCTTGTGTTAATTTTCATGATCATTTTTGAAACTTACAGAGGGAACAGTAATTGCATGCACCATGGTGTATATCCAAAGAAATATGCTTGTAAATGGGCACATGGTTATATTAGGTAAATGATGGGCTCAAAGGAGATGCTTCATCCCTCTATCTACATTGGCCATAAAAATTTGGAAACATCTATTTTTTCCACTAGAATCAATCTGTAGGAAAACTCCAAAATGGAAGTTTTTCATGTTGCTTGTTAAACTCCGATTCAGGAAGGTGCTTAAGTAAACCACCCGATTTTCCCAACTAAAGGTCGGGTTTGTGTAAGAGCATTTGAGTAATCAGTACCAAGCTTGACAGGTTCTACTTATCTGCCAATCTTTTTATGGAGATTTATGGGTTACTTTGGAGCCTCATCCTGTTAGCTTGGGTTAATCCTGTCCTGCGAATAACTATTGGATTATGTGCTTGGGAGATTTAGCTGGAAGAAATCATACTGTTTCGATGCTAATAAATCCAACCAGCATCCCAAACACCTACACACACAGGCCCAGAGCAATGTAAATCCAACCAGCATCCCAAACTGCTCAAACACCTACACACACAGGCCCAGAGCAATACAAACAGGATCTAGCTGGAGGTGTTCCCAGAAGAATCTTATCGTGCTACTGGATCAGTGCTCTTCCAAAATGTAGGGGCTGATGCCCTTTTCTTCTAAAAATGCTTCCAGAAAAATGCAGGGGCCACTGCATTAAGCGCAGTTTTGGACTGAGACACCCAAGGTACCCCTTGCATATTAAACTCTGTTCACAAGCAACTTACAGAGCTGTCCCCACCTTCTCTCCCCACCTTCATGTTTGTGCTGCAAACTCTGTGCCAGGTTAAGCACGTGCTGATGCTGCTTCTTGAACTGGACCAGACTGTTGGCTCAGCAGGAAGCTAGCCATCCAAATAAAACCAAGCTTAAATTATTATTTTTCAATCAGATCAACAACTTTCTTTGAGCTGCCTGCAAGGCTACACTATGCAAGATAAAGGAGAGAGGGCAGGATCTACCCTCTTAGCTGGAGTATGGCCTCGAATCTGATAGTGTTTCCATATTTCAGTTTCCCATTTGCCATATGTGAGGATTAGCAATCCCATTATTTTCCATTTTATCTGTGTTTAGAAGGAAAGAAGACAGCACCATAGTCATATTTCCACCATATTCTAGGCCCCTTAACTGATTTTTTTTTTTTAGTGAGATTTATTCTGGATATATTTTTGCAGTCCAAATTTTGGCTTTTATACATTCTTTATTTTTTATTATTGTTGGATGACAAGGTGAAAAAATGCTTACTAAAATGCTTTTTCACTGAATTTCACTGAATTTCTAGAGTTGGAAGGGACCATAGAGATCATCTAGTCCAACTCCCCTGCTGCAGCAGGATTGCCTAGAGCTAGAGCATGTTACTCAGGACTGCATCCAGGCGGGTTTTGAAAATCTCCAAAGAAGGGGACTCCATCACCTCCCTGGGCAGCCTGTTCCAGGGTTCCGTCACCCTCACCGTGAAGAAGTTTCTCCTCATATTTGAGTGGAACCTCTTATATTCCAACTTGTGCCCGTTGCCCCTCGTCCTCTCACTGGGAACCACTGAAAAGAGTCTGGCTCCCTCCTCCATCAACCCTCCCTTGAGATACTTGTAGGCGTTGATAAGGTCTCCCCTCAGCCTTCTCTTCTCCAGACTAAAGAGTCCCAGCTCTCTCAGTCTCTCCTCATAAGGGAGATGCTCCAATCCTTGAATCATCTTTGTAGCCCTACGCTGGACTCTTTCTAGTAGTTCCCTGTCCCTCTTGAACTGGGGAGCCCAGAACTGGACACAGTACTCCAGTTGTGGCCTCACCAGTGCAGAGTAGAGGGGGAGAATGACTTCCCTTGACCTGCTGGTTACACTCTTCCCTATACAACCCAAGATACCATTGGCCTTCCTGGCCGCAAGAGCACACTGTTTACTCATTGTCATTTTACTGTCCACCAGGACCCCTAGATCTTTCTCTTCAGTAGTTGCCTCTAGCGGGTCCACCCCTAACCTATACTGGTACCTGACATTTTTCTTCCCCAGGTGCAGGACCCTACACTTTTCCCTGTTGAACCTCATGAGGTTCTTCTTTGCCCAGCCCTCCAGCCTGTCCAAGTCTCGCTGGATGGCAGCACAGCCCTCCGGGGTGTCAGCCACTCCTCCCAGTTTGGTATCATCAGCAAACTTGCTGAGGATACACTCTGTCCCCTCGTCCAGGTCACTGATGAATATATTAAACAGCACGGGTCCAAGTATTGACCCCTGGGGGACTCCACTGGTTACAGGCTTCCAACTTGAACCTGCTCCATTAATAATTACCCTTTGGGTCCTGTCACACAGCCAGTTCTCAATCCACCTCACTGTCCCCTCATCCAGCCCATACTGCCTCAGTTTCCCAATGAGGATGTTATGGGAGACAGTGTCAAAAGCCTTGCTTTGAGGCACAACAATAATAACTCCTTGAATTTAAAATGACTCAAGCATAATTTAATAATTTAAACTGCCCACCTTGACTGTCAAAGTGAGTACAAATCACTGGGTTATTGAAAGGCAGACTTAAACCATCGGTCATATAAAAAATGAATTTTAATACACTGTCCTTAGCATCTGAATTCTCTAGATTTCCAACAGATAAAGGAAGAAATGAACACAGGGTTTATAAACTGGGTCCTTAATTATAAAGAAAGAAACTTGCATTTTATATGGGACAGATGAATATTTGTCTGTGATCACTCAGCTCTGCACTCTGCAATAGCACAGTGCTTTACTGGTAGAAAAAATGTCTGGGTTTTCTTCCTTCTCAAAGAATTTATTCATCCAACCATCAGATACAATAAAGTCATTTCTGGAAAGAAAAAATCCCAGATTTCCAGAAATAATTTAACCTGCTTTCATGAGAGTCCTCTCTACATTAAGGATGGAAATAAATACTAAATACAAAAGTGTAAGCTAGTCCAAATGCATTTCTGATGTAATGTTCATTTGTATTTACATCTTTTTATCAAAGTCCTAGTCTAAGTTTCTACACTACCTGTTCTTCTCTATGAAGATATGGAAACTTTGGACAAAAACCCATATTCTTTCAGTAGGGAGAATTTTTCCTCCCATTTAAATATACTTTTTACATTTTATCTATTTTTTCAAGTGCTTTACATTCTGTTCCTTCACAGATGTGCTGAGTAAAAACTGGAAGTTCAGCAGTAATGTCAGACAGGACATCTCTCCACCAGATCTCCAGATTTTATGAGAAAGCTACTACTCCCACTCACCTTTACCTCACTTTCCCAATCCCCCCAGGTAATTGGTAATTGTAACTGCAAACTATTTGTCCCTGGGAATTGACGCTCCATTTTTAATAATTCAGTAACACTGGCTGAAAATTTTCATTTGCAAAACTATTTCTTAAAGGTTAGTATATTGATCTTAACATATAGGCAACACTGCTGTGTGGTTATCAAAGCAAATGTAAGCCATACAGCAGAACATCACAAACCAAAATCCATGCATTTAAATGGAAAAAAAGATGTACATTTGCTACTGTAGCTCAGACAGGAGCCAGGTAAAGAGATATTTTGGAGAAGGTGTGAATCAATGTTCCACACCATCAGGGCTTCAGAGGAGGACCCTAGTAAGATAGGATTTTCAAGAAGGAGGAGAGACAGCAGATCTCAAAAGGCAAAAGATAAGTGGCTTAACGTGTGGCCACTACTTTGCCATACACATAATCTTATAGTCATAAAAATACAGGAGTGTCCTCAAGTATTCAATCTACGTTGCAAAATTAATTTAGAACAAGTTATCAAAAAGCAGAAAAATAGGAAGAAAATAATTAGGAAACCTTTCTCCACCAGGATACCTCTTTTCTGAAATTAGTGTTTCTTAAATATTTTTGCTCAAATGATTTCCCCAAATGTTCCTTTATTTTTTGTTTGTTTTTACTCTGGCACAGGACTTAGCAGCAGAAGAGAAAGCTGAGTCAGGAGGAATGAAACACAAGATGGAAGTTCAATTCTCATCAAATCCTACGGTCTTCCTATGATGGCAAATCTATACCTGAAATCTCACTACACTGTCACACCAGTATTAGTAGCAGAGGGAAGAAAGAGAGAAAGAGGTGGAATGAGAAAAGAGAGAAAACACAGAAGGGAAGAGGAGCAGGAGAGGAAAAAAAAAGTTTAAGCAGGGAGAAGGTTTGAAAAATAGTGAAAACTAATGGAAAAGAAGAATGGAACACCAGTCAAATATCACCACCCCCTTCATTTTCATTGCTGCAATCCAAACTGAACCAGCTGAGCATATCACATATCCACATATCACATGCTTATAGCTCACAGGACCGGTGCTTTATCTGGAAAAATAGGATTATTATATCAACTGAAAGCCATATCCATACCACATAATTTCTGCAGAGATTTTTCTGAGTATGTTTCACGATCACAGCCCTTTCCAATGTAATTGGTCTGTAATTCAATCGTGGTATGTATTGAGGAAACTGGCCCATCACACGTTTCTAGACGAATGCTGGGAAACAAAGGTATGCTGCCAGATCCCGGCTTGTATTCAATCCGTTTGTTCCAGTCTGGAAAAAAACAACAACAAAAAGATCCATGAGTGATTATAAAAGGGAAGGGAGTTATATAATTTTGAAAGACAAATCGTTCTCAAAGGTCACTGTCTAAGACAAAAGCAAATGGTTTTGGATTTGGCATCAGTAAGTTACTGTCCTAAAAAAAAATGGCTTTTGCCCCCTGGAGAAGAGTGTCAGGCTCAATTAAGTAATACTACTGCTGGAGTCATATAAGCATAGAGTACATACATGTCCTGACAAGAAGTGCTAATTGGTGTCAGTCTGGGTATCCCACGTCCATTCTATCCCGTGACAGACTACAGGCTGGCTCTACAGGAACGAGGCTGTCAGCCACACTGAATTTGGTCAGATTTCATAGTTTTGTGATACAGAACAAATATCTCCAAGGACCAGGCTATATATATCATTCTCACTGGACTGTGACCAAAAGCTAACATGACACATCTGTAATGCCACTTCTTGGCTTCAAACGATTTCCTAATTTTGTGAAGTATTAATGACAGGAAGTTACATCTGAAAGGACTATTCATGCTCTCAGCCACATCTCCCTAATCTGTGGTTCTGCTAATGCAGATGTCTCACAGCCCTCTACATTTAAACTACCACCTGCCTTAGGCAGCCACCTGGACACGCCGTGCATACCACTGTGCTTCTCAACTGAAGCGTTTAATTTTTTAAATCCAATTAATTATGGTGTTTGCAACCTGCTTCAGAGAAAACCCAAACAAGCAGCTTTAATTAAAAGACGTGTTTCAGCTATCTTTACAGTCCATATTTTCATAGAATCATAGAATGGTTTGGGTTGGAAGGGACCTTCAAAGATCATTTAGTCCAACCTTCCTGCTATAGGCAGGGACATTATTTCAGTAGATCAGGTTGCTCAAAGCCCCATCCAATTTGACCTTGAAGACTTTCAGTGTTGGGGCATCCACACCTTCTCTGGGCAGCCTGTTCCAGTGTCTCACCATCCTTATAGTAAATATTTTTTTTCCAACCTTCCTGCTATAGGCAGGGACATTATTTCAGTAGATCAGGTTGCTCAAAGCCCCATCCAATTTGACCTTGAAGACTTTCAGTGTTGGGGCATCCACACCTTCTCTGGGCAGCCTGTTCCAGTGTCTCACCATCCTTATAGTAAATATTTTTTTCCTTATATCCAATCTAAATCTACCCTCTTTCAGTTTAAAACTGTTACCTCCTGTCACTACAGCCCTAGATACAAAGTTTCTTTCCATCTTTCTTACAAGCCTACTTCAAGTAATGAAAGGCCACAGTAAGGTCTTCCTGGAGCCTTCTCTTCTCCCGGCTGAACAGTCCCCCTCTCTCAGCCTGTCTTCAAAGGAGATATTTTTCCAGCCCTTCGTGGTCCTCCTCTGGACTGGCTCTAACAGGTTCTTATCTTTCTCATACATTTTATCCTACTCCAGCCAAGTTACCACACAACATAAATAAGAACACCACATTAATACAGAGATGTGAATAGGTAATTATTTTGAAGTCACAAAACTACTCAATTCTGCTACCTAATGTGTACATCTGTGTATCTGTACAATTTGTCAAAAGAAGTACTATTGCCTGCACAGCTGAAGTTTCACTGACTTTTTTTAGCCCTAGATAAAGAGGACTCCATAAATGAAAAAATTCTAGGTTCTGGCAGTCAATGAAATCTCTTAAAGCAAATACTCAGATACATTCTTTCTAAATATCAGTGGAAGGGAAAGTAATAAAAATACATATATATATATGCATTTATTAGGTGAAGGAGTTTGGTGTTCAACAGACCTCATTTTCAGAAAGCTTGAAAAAAGGTGCTCTCCCCACTGTCTTAAACCAGATTAAAATTTACAAGAAGATCTGAAGCAAACATTTTGAAACATAGAGCAACCGTTAATCCAGAGTCCAGACAAAGGAGACAGGATACTGGCAGTCACTGGTCTGTGTTTCAAAATTCTCAGATTTTCTTTATAACTTTTAATCTAAATGATAATCATAAACCATTTTGTTCTTAAGAGGAAGCTGAAACTTCATGAAACGCTCTAAAAGTATGTTTAGTATCTATTGTTACTAAAATCTTGAAGACTTGTACATCACTGACTAAAAGAACTATGGCTACTTTATTGCCTCTGCACACATCAGCTGAGTTGCAATTTTAGTAGTAATATTCAGTCATAATACTCAGCCCATTCATCCCATATTAAGATTTGATCTGCAGCAGTGCATAATTTGTCTGCAGTTGCCAACTTAAACAGCTCCCTTAGAATTTCAAGTGTCATATAAAGTACATTATTACAATAAGATTTCTGTACCCCATCTGTTCCATAAACTCGAGATTAACATTTTTGCACCCAAACAAGAACAGAAAATTCTTCAGATACTTAAGGTAAAAATAAAAGTGTGTTGGTTTTTATACCCGAATATATGTATAAATCACATGTATACATCAATATATGAATTATTGATCTTTATAGTCTCTTATTCACCAGTTAAACCATTATATTCCTCTACCCAAAATGAAAAATAGGGAGTCTTATATGTATCTGAAACATTTTTTACGATCTCAGCAGCTTTCAGGTTTCAGCCACATTTTCATTTCTCAGCTCTATCAAATTATCTGGCACTCATGCAAAATATTCTTTACTGTATGTGAGCTGTGTCTTAATTATTAACTGTAACATATCTGCAACTGCACTCTCACTTCCAGTTATATGAAGAATGTCTTATATAAAACCACACTATATAAAATGCCACTGCTCACAGGGAAGAATAATGGAAGACCTATGTTTCTGTCACACAAATATCTCTTGGATTGGAAGAGGAGTTTCATTTCACAGAATTAGCTTTCAACTTGGCAAAACCAGTAATGTGTACCCAGAGATCATAAACCCTAAATGTTCTATATCACACTCATTTATCTCAGCACTAAATTGCAAAACATCAACTAGACTTGAACTAGGGTCTTTGTATGTTGGTCCTCTGCAGCATCATAGGCCAATCCTCATCCTAAAGCTCCGTAGCATGTCTTTCATTGACTTAGCACTGATTTAAGAAGTTCACCAAGGAGTCCCTCTCCATGCAGAAGACATTCCCAGGCAGGCATGAGGCAATAGCTCTGATGCAAATCAACTGGTTTATTTATGTAGTATCTGTCCCCATGGCATTTCAGCATCCCAGAGGTGTTGAAGCCGAGGCCAGCACTCTGTATCTCACCACCAGTAAAGCTAGTAATGTTGGAAAATGCATAAAGTTACAACAAGCAAAAGAAGTGGTAGTAGTGTAAAGAGCTTATTGCGAGAAAAATCCAAGTCTTTAATTTTGCATGTGGTGAAGATCATTATTTTTCTTTCTTCCAGAATGACATCCTGTATTGGACACATTCAAAAGATCAGCACCTTCCCCGCAGGAAAATGTGGTGGCACTTTTTCGATTCCTCTAGAACTGACTCAGAGAAAGAGTTTTATGTAATCTGAGTCTAAAAAAGCCTTTGAATTTCAGATATTTAAAAACTGTATCTTAAAACATGAGTCATGTCTATGGTTATGCAAACAGTCAAAAGATACATAATCCCATCTGAAATGGTAGGTTACACTACACTCAAACAACATGGTTTTCCCTTTGCCACAAACTGACGTGCGATGACACCACATTGCAGTGCAAGCTTAGAAAGGTAAGCACTGCCTCCTGCCTCCCCAGTAGCTGGGGAAGACTAATCCCATGGGAAAAGCTTGAATAAAACTAGGCCTGTTTAATCCTGCAGAAGACAGCCTTTGTTTGGATTTTTTTTATTCAACAGGCTTTTTTGCTTGCCTCTTGTGAAAAAGGAAAATCTTGCAAAAAAGGAAATTTCAGGCCTTTCAAGAAATTCTGAATGCTATTTCTTGGCATATATTACAGATGAAAAAAAGTGAGTTAACATAACTGTTTAATTTTAAAGTATATCATCAATGTTAAAACGGGTCACCTGCTGTGCCTTGTTGTCTGGGAAGGAAAGTTAGAGAAAAGACTAGTAGTGCATGTATGCCTGGGCCTGGCTTAAGTACCTTTGTTTCTGTGAAGATCCTGAGCTGCTAAAAAGAACCAGGTCTGTTCAGGTTATCTAAGCAGTTTCCCATTCAGGAAATTGATCATTTTACAAAGGAGAGATTTTGGTAGGATGTTCCCTAGTGAAATTGCCACAAATCAGCTAATAATCATCAGCAGAACGCTACTTCCAGGATCCATCAATGTCACTGAGTGCTGCACAGAATGTAATTTTCTACAAACAATTTGCTAAGTTTTAAAGGGTCAAGCGGTCACCAGTGACAGGAAAAAAAAAAAAGCTTTCTCTCTTGGGAACCAAGTAAGGAGCTTTACAACAGTTGCCACAATTCCTACCACTGCTAGCAGGCATATATTGTGCTAGGGAAGTTTGACAGAAATTATTCCAAAAGTGAAACAAGATTTAAGAATCAGGTAGAATCATGCTTCTTGTGTGTGTTTAATAACACACACAAATACCATAAATAACACACATAAATATAACTTAGGATATTTTTTAAAATTGCATTCCCCCTATTTTTAAAGAAATACATATGAATAACACATGTACATATAAATACATACATATGCATGTATACATAAAATATGACTGTTTTTAACCAACACTGGAAAATAATCTTTAAAGTTCTATTCATTTTTTTAAGGGACAAAAGATCATTTCTCATCCAGCACCACTAGTCATACAATTAAAAAAAAAGCCTAATAAACACATACAGGTTTGAGAGCTAATCTACAAGCTAGTAACATACAAATGACAGGACTGCTAAATCTGATGCCACATACAAATTTAAGCATGTTAAATATGATGAGTGATTTGTTAAGGAAATGATAATCCAAAAGTCTGACCCAGTTAAAGCCTCTCCATAGCGAAGGGAAGACTCAAACTAACTTCTCAAGCCCTGCTAAGGCACCATGGTTTGCTAAGAGCTTTGAATGCAGATCTCATAAAAGCATAA